TGGTCCAGCTTGTAACTTCTCAATGCTGATAAAACGTGAAGTCCTGACAGAGCTGCTGCTCTGTCCAAATACATTGCCAGATAAACTACAGATAAGAAACAGCCAGGGATAATCCCTCCCTGATACCATGACAGAGAATGAAATAACACTGTGCTGCTTTACCATCAAATCTTCTGTCTCTCTCCAAGACGGTTCTCACATTTCCCCAGTTTCTACTCCCCATTTACTCAGGAATCAAACCTTATCAGTTAAAGGCAATCTAGACATTTTATACCAGCAACATCTTAAGTATTGCCTTGTTCATTCAGCAAGAACAGTCAGATCTTCTCTAAAGAATAGCCCAGTTTCTCTAATAAGCGTATCAGCAGAGTGAAGTTTTGTCATCCACATCTTTATCTGCAACCCAATGCAGTTACCACAAAAAGTGAGGCTTTAACTTAAATCTGAAAGAGTTGGTCTATCTCAAGGAAAAGTTCCTATGATCCTCCAAAATAGTAGCTTTTGATATTTACCTCAAGAAGAAGCAAGAAAACAACCAAACAACAAAGCACAACACACCAGAACCCCCAGAGAATTAGCACAACGCCCCTCAATTACCGTATCACCGTGACAGGAGCTGAATGCTGCTGTTTTTAAACAGTACATTGCCCTGTACTCTTGGGCTTTGGATATTAAAAAAGAATAAAAGTTCGAGAAGGAAGCAGACCTGTAACAGCATGTAATATGAATGAGATGCAGAGATTTCCACACTTGCCTGACAAATGCTCCCTATCATTTGCACCAATTCAGGCAACCCACAAGTACCTTCCTGCTGGCTTTCTTGCTTCTGTCTTCTTCCTTTAAGTAAAATTTGTTAAAAAAGGGAAGTACCTTTTCCTGGGTCAGGTTCTCTTTCCCCTTTTTTCCCTTCTTTGTTCTTTTTGCTCTTTCCTTTCCCTTTTTTCTTGTTCTCGGACATTCTGCACAACTGTTTACAGTCTCAGGAAAAGACAGTCCACACCAGATCTATATGCCCCACAACTGCTACTCCAAATGTTACTTGCCAGCTGCAACTTCCGACTGTTCTTATATTGTTTCTGACACTGACAACACCCACCACTGGGTGGAGAAGCAAAACTTTAACTATTTGCTCACTGCTCCCAGTTATCTGAAAAGATGCACTGGGTTACAGTGGGAGGACCAGGGGAGTAGTGCTACAGTGTGAGAGCAGCTCTTCTGAGAGTGTCTTGGACACATTAAGTCCAGAGATGTTTTTCTGTTGCTGACTCTGTCTCTGGCTACAAATAAGTTCTGAACAGCTTCTGGAGCATTGTGGAAGTAAGTGCTTGGGGCAACTCCTGAGGTCCAAACTTAAGTGATAAGTGATAAGCAGTGATGTCTAACAGAAAGAGTAGAGGGTTGCAACCCATTCTCATTCTGTTTCAACCCAGCAGAGGGATTACGCTTGCCTTTCTCCTCATATTGCTGCTCCCACCATAAACAGCAATTTCACCTGGTCTTGCACCCAGATCTTTGTTGTCCCAGAAGGTCTTTCTAAAAGGAAGCAATAGCTGGAGAGAGCCTTACCTGCATTTCTCGTATCTGTCTTCACTCTCTGTGAGCTCAAGGTGGCTGATAAAGCCCATGTCTCATCTGCTTAGGGGTTAACAAAGCCCTTTTCCACAAGTCCAACATGTGATGAGTGACTCAGCCCAATCCCCTTCAGTAGGACAGGCCATGCTGACATTGCCTCAAAAGTCCATCAGGATCCCCAGCTGGAAAGCTCCAGAGTATAGTCAGATCATTCCCAGATGCAGCTATGGGCTTCAAAGGCCCAAAGACCCATAAGCTATAAGGCACTGGGTAACATAGTAAATCCAGTTATCCATGAATCAAATCCAGTTCTAAGCATGCGAGTAAAACATATCTTACGGAGAAGCACTCCCGCCTGGTGCATGGACATCAAGAAATGAAGGAGCTATCATCCCCCTTGGGATTTTCTCCCAGCGGTTAATCACCCTCATTGTTAAAAATGTCTGCCTGCTTTGAAGTAGAGTATCTGGCTTCACTGTCCGGCTATTGTTTTTTCTCTGTTTTCTCCTCTATATTAAAAAGCCCTTCAGCAACGGGTATTTTCTCCCATGGAAGTACTTTACACACTGTAATCAAGTTATCCCTCAATCTTATTTTTGATAAGCTAAACAGATGAAGCTTTTTTCCATTGCTTGCTGTAATGGCATTTTCTCTAGTTCAGGGATCGTATTCACGGCTATCCCATTTTGCAATCCTAATTAAGCTAAGAACACAAAAAACAGGCGCTATTCCATTCTCTTGTGTACAGAGGCAAAAACAGAGGCAAAATCCCTGTTGCCACCCCTTCCTGGCCATTTTAACATCCAAGAGTCACATTCAGGCACCAAGCTTCACAAGGAAAATCTGTTCTCTTATGTTTCTACTGCTGCTCCTACCAAGTCCTGGCTCTGAAGGATGCAGTTCTCCTGCTCTCTAACTAGGATGAATTTCTTGCTCTTTCATAGCACCCCTCTCTGTGGTAAAGCTTCATTTTGTTTGAAAACAGCCAGTATGCTAGCCATTCAGATCACCCTCTCCTGCTTCTTTCTTCCCATTGCTGCTTGAAACTCCAACAGTCTCTGTGTCAGCTTGCTCATTTTTCCATCAGTGATCTCATGTTCACCTCCAAGTTGCTAGTGACAATGATCTCACTAGAAACACTTCACAGAACAATGAACTGCCTGACAGCAACAACTTTTTGGTACATGCTAGTTGGTTGCTTCTTTGCCTGCAAGTGAGATACAGTTGAAAACTTAAAACACTTATTTTCTATTATTTTGCAATTTGAATGTAGGACATCACCAGACTGAGTACATTGGATACAGCATTAAGAGAAGCTAACAGGTATACGCTGGCAAGTACCTAAGCAAACTTGCTTTGAACGCTTAGATAAGAGCTACCAAGCCTGTTCATTGGGAGTTTGAGTCTGATAGACGTTGTTTAACATCCTCTGTGGATTTTTGGTCACAGGACAGTAACCCATCATATTGTTTCTTTTCTGAATACAGAATAATGGTGATTACTGACTACTTTGCATTTTCTAAGTCATTACAAATGAAATTTCCATATGTTTATTTCACTATTTAACTCATAACTATACTCCATATTACTAATATGTTTCTAGGGTCCCTTAATTCTGTAGCTGTATCTGATAGACAGTTTCCCTCTAGATGTTTTTAGCTTGTCCTCTATATACCGTATCTCCAGATGCAGGTGGATTGCTGCCTATTTTTCTCTTTTCAAAATTTGTTCATATTTATTGGCTCCAGTTGCTGCTTTCATTGCTAACAAGCTCAGATGACTATTAGCTAAACCTTGTCCTCCTTCTTGACTCAGAAATCTCAACTTTCTTGGCCTCTGCTCAAAGAGCTTCCAGTTCTTACATACATTTTCCTGTGGATGTTTCAATACCCAATCAATTTTGCTCAGTTTTCCTCAGCCTTGGGAAACTGGTTTCTTTGAATCCTCAAGAGTGTCTTACATGTATTTATGTTTAGGACTCTCCTCTGCTAGCCCATATGAATGAAAATCCATCATGGTCACTTGCCCAATGTAAACCACCAGTGATTAATTCAGCCATCAAAATGAATAAGCCAGCATTTATCAGACATAATGAGGCCCAGACACAGTTTCCTTTCCTCAGCGTGATAACCTAGTGTTAGATCTGCAGAGTTTTGAGAGACTTTGATGTTTCAGCAATAGGTTTCTTGCAAGCATATCTCCTGAATGGACATCTCTCATAAAAGAGAAAATAAAAATAAATAAACAGAAAACCCAACATATTTACCCCCTCCTTTTTTATCTTCTACAATTTTATTTTCATCTTGAACTATCTTCTACCACAGGTTCCTTCACATGAAGATTGCAGTTTTTTTGCTTCCCTCCCATCCCCATCATTCCTGAAGATAAACTATAGCTCTTCCACCACTTGGGCAAATACATACCTTCATTTCAGTTAAAGACTCAAAGTTTCTTGTGTTTGGAGCAGGTTTGTTAAAGTTAACAACTGCAGTAAAGATACCCTACTTTTTTTTTCCCCTCTATTTCAAATTAATGAATAATCAAGGATTTTCTTTCATTGAACAGTGTTCAAAGGGTGACACTATGCACAGAAACAGACAGCACAGCCTCAGCGTCTGAAGATAAAAGTGACAAAGTCTAAGAAGCAAAAGTGGAAGTATCTGGCCTGGCACCACTATCCTAAACAGCCTAGAGCATGTGAAAGGAAGAAACATCAGCAACAACACCCCAAATGGGTATTTTTGTACTTTGGCAGTGATCACAGACCCACCTGTGACAGACAAGGAATATTATATGCAAATCAATTTTAGTCTTGGCAGGTGTGCATCTTGTATATCTTATCCAAGTGGCTGGCCCCTGTCCCAGGGTGGGGACCCACCCCTCTAGATCTAGCTTTAGCATCACAAACATATGGAATATACTCTCTCCTGAACAATCCTGACACACGAACATATGGGCTAAATCCAGCAAGCACTTCAGTCCTCATGTGAATATACTGATATAATAAAACCTGTGGGAAAGGTATTTCAGTCCCACATGTCCCATCTGACAGTCTGCGTATACCTTATGCTATTACCTAATAGCATTTAGTGCATATTTATTTAAACAGTCTTACGGAGAATTACAACCTGAAACACAATCAACAAGCTTTTTTTTCTATTCTTTACAATTCCTGTACAACTTTAAGCTTAACAAACAGGAGGCATATAATTACACAAAAGATTGAGCCATAACATAAGTGCAGCTGATTCTCATATGAAATACAGCATACTGATTTTACAACACACTGTGAGCAGCAGAGTGAGTTTACCAGGCAGAATGTCCTTATCCTCGTTATAATTTGCCTATATGCCAGCCTAATAAATTTAGGCTCCTTAATAATCCCCAGGAAGTCAGAACCAAGACCAGGTGAAAGAGAACCTCCCTACCTCTTCCCACACACAGCATCCATTGCAGTCAGCAGCTGTTAAATGAATTCTTCAAACAAAAATCCCAGATCGGCTCGGTGGAGAACGGAGTCCGCAGCTAAGAGTCACGCTGCTGCATTGCATACTGGCTTCTTTTCTGGGAGGATATAAGGCACCACTCCCATGCAGAACAGCAGTGTGCACTCCAGGGGAAAACAGCGTAGCTTGCAATAGCAAGGTCTGTGTCTGGAAAAAAAATATTAATACAGTATCCCCTGGCCTGATGGAGACATAAAAAAAGAAAAGAAAAAAAAAAAAGAATAAAAAGTAAAAAAAGACCTGACCCATCAATGCTACTTGATATTTGCTGAAACCCAGTCAGCAAGCCCACTCCAGTTCCTCTGGTCTCCAAATTTCAGAAGCAAAGGCAGACGTGCACACTCCACAAGCTTCTGAGACTGTATTTATGGCAGCAATCTTGGGAGCACAATGACCCATTTTAAATCGTAGCATTTTCAAAAGCTCTTGGTATTGGCTTAACTCTGCTCTCACTGGTATCACCAGGAGGTGGCCATCAACTTCAGGGGAACCTCTGTGTAACATTACATGGTCCATACCTTGAACTGTCATCACCCATTTAACAGTGGAGTCAACACAAAATTGATGTTAGCCAGAAATACTTATACGTTATTTCTAGAGAAGTAGAATAAAGGAAGATACAATGAGACTGTACCTGTCAGCATCCTTTTGCTTTATCAAGGCAATCAGCTGGATACCATTTCTCCATGGCCCTGTTCCTACAAAACACTGCAGCCTTTGCAGAAAGACTATGACATCATGAAAGCAGCAAAGCTCAGGCTCCTGACCCAGCTTGATCTGGAGGGACAGCAAATTGGAGATACACAAAATCCTATCAGCAGGGTCTCTGAAGCAAAGCTATTGGGAAGTAGTACAGCCTCCCTGTCATCGAGGCACAGACAGCACCTCCAGGAGCAGGGTCAGAAACAGATCCTGGGGTTATCTACTCAAAACAAGCATCTTGTGCCAGAAGGAATGACGTTGGCACTGGCTGGATCATCAGTTCAATAAAAGTTGTGCTACAGCTTTGTCTGCTGGAACGTATTTTTCATGGAAAATATCATCCTTTTTTTACACCTCTTGCTGCCACATCTTTTGTTGCCATTCAGGTTAAAGGAAAATCAAACAGCAAAACCTTATTTGTTCAATAAGGGCAAGAATAAATTCCATCTGAACATCACTTGATGTCTCTCTTTCACAAAAGGCATTTTGCCACGCTCATGTTTCACATCTGCACACTCCTTAGTCCAGCCTTACCCCCTACTGTGCATGCAAACACAGCACTATAACAGCACAGGCCTTGTGGATGATCGAGACCTTACCCAGCCAGCCTGAGTGGGATATTTTGCATTGCATCTTCTTTTTCTTTTCATGCTTACGGAACAAAATCCTCATCTTGACATGATTTATCACGTCACAGTTATGTCTGATAACCATACGCATTTTTGCTCACAGAAGTAAGCATATGTTATCAACTCAATAAAACCTGGCTGTGTTTTCCTCTGTAAGCAGAGAGGATGAAAGGAAAGCCAGTGCTGACTCATCTCCCGAGGATGGCTTTTCCCCAATCCCAACATGTTCAGCAAGCCTGTCTCTTGGACATTAATGACAGAAGAGTCACTGCCAGCTTAGACAAACTACAGCCTCTGCAGCTGCTCCACGAGGCTGTACAATGCTCTTCTCCTGGAGGAAATGGGTGCTGTGAGCACCTCTTTGGGGTGCCTCACACCACCAACCTTCGATGTCTGGCTGCCCTCACACAGCAGCAGTCAGTTCAGTCGCTGTGACACTCCTTATGACAATAGGTGCTCACGGCCCACCACGGCCATGACAAGCAATCTGCACTGAGCTTGGACACAGGCTTCATCTTTGCTTTGGAAGCAGCAGCACCAAGGGCTTGTATGTTACCAGTGATGGCACTGACTCTCCAACCAGTCTGGGACAGCCTAATTTTAGTGGTTCAGTTACCATACCTGTGCTCTCCCTGCCACATTGAAAGCAGAAGTCAACTCCTTACCTAACTGCCCCCAGCCCTCAGTCTCTCTGAAATCCTCCCAGACACTTTTCATCCCAGCTAGAGACGTCTGCCATTTCCTTCAAATAAAAAAATAAAAATAAAAATCCTTTTCCTTGTGATGTCTCTGCAATCAACAGCAATTTTCATGTGCAATCAATGAACAGGGCCTCCTCCAGTCATGCTTCAGTCCTAAGCCTTTTAAGTATGTCTGGTGAGAAAAGGTCAGGAGGTTTGGGGGAAAATTCCATGAATTCTTATGTTCTCTTTTTCTCTGGGTGCAATTCTGCTGAAGTGCTGAAGGCCCCAGCAGGTTATGGCCTCCTACAAAGAAATCAGAAAGTTGCTTTTAGGAATGTTTATATTTAAGTGATAGCATGAAGCTTTCCCACCCCCCCTCAGCCCTCTGCCTGCTCACCGGGTCAGTCTTGCACCAGAGGAATGGAAGCAGATGCAGAGCCCTTGCATGTGTGAACCCTGCAGCAACAGGCATTGGGACACCTCCATCTCTTATCTGAGTGGATCTGCGTGATCCACTGCTACACATCATGCCAGGTCCACGCATGACCTAGAGAAATCTATAGGAGGTGCTGTTTACATGCAATGCACTAACTTGTGCATCCCCTGATCCATCGTTTCCCCTCCCTGTCCATTAGACCCTCAGACTTACAATCTAAAGGCTGCTGCCCAAAGCTAGAGAATGCTCTGCAAATTGTGTCCAAACCCATAGCCACATGGCTAAGGAGAGAAAAGGCACATTTGACATGTTCATTCCCCCATTCAGGCACAAGTTGGGCAGAAGAAAGGTTGGGCAGGAGAGTCTGAGACCACATGGAACAAGAATAATTAAAAGCTGCTCTTGAAGCTTCTAGAGACCTGATCTTAGGTCAGAAACTATATGCAGGACATGTCAGATGTGAAAATGCTCACAAGGCTCCATGAAATGAAGAGATTCCCAGCCTCTTCTCAACATGGGTTCCACTTTATTCTTGTCTTGTGCCAAGACCAGAAAGTGCCTATGAAAAGTCCTGCCAATGCCATACCCACCAAATCATGCTACTTGGAAAGGCTCTGCAAGGACATCTACTGTAACATCTAAACTCTGCTTTACAGAATATTGTTTAGCAATTAGAGATTGCCTCTCTATCTAAATGAAATGGTTCTTCCCCAGAAACATCTTCTGGAAGCTCAAAAGCCTAAGAAAAGTAGATACAGCATCACTGACTGCAGTGCTGTGGGTAGAGAGCATGATCAGACAGATGAGTAAATTATGCAGAGCAGGTGTTGTTCTGTGTCATATTTGCCCAGTTAAAATGTGACTTAAGGAAGAGAACAATTGGATCTACTGCATTTGATTGAATGGAGGAGAAAAGAAAACATCATCACAGACGCTACTTCATCACAGAGTCCATTTAGAGAAAGCAGTGCTGTTCGCATCTCCATCCCATGTCTGGTCAATGCTAGGGAATGTTAATCTGTGCCCTGCTCTGGGCTGCCTTAGGTTCAGGTCTATGAAGAGAGCATTTTTTTTACGTAACTTCTCTAACCCACAGACAGAAGTGCCTGGGGAATGGCTTGTGAATCCACAGCAAAAACAGAAGTGGCAGCAAATCCCTGTCATAACTTTTCTCCTCAACAGGCTGCCTCTTGGACAGATGTGAGGGCACAAAGCACAAGAGCAGCCATCTCCAGACTTTGATTCACTTTCTCTTCTCCCAGCCACTCCATATATTTGGCTCCTCCAGGCCAAAGGGAGGCCTCCTGCCTTTCACCAGCCAGCCCATTCTCCTCTACCTTGGGTCACTGCCAATTCACCTCTGCCTTGTTCATGAATGCACAGTCAAGGCGACAGCTGGCCCTGGGAGATTCCACCTACTACCACCTTCACCAGCAGATACCTGGGAGCACAGAGCTCAGGACCACTTCATGCTACAGTCTGCTGTTGAACTATTATCTTCTCATACAGCCACGGCTCTCTCAGAATTACTGCTTTCCAAACAGCTCCTCCTCATTACATAATTTGGCCTAGAATTGCTCTTGCCCAAAAGCAATAGCTGTGTTTCTTGCAGATTTAAAACTGAGATTATCCTTTTATGCTCACTGTCAAAACTCTCCATCTCACTTTTTTATTCTCTTCTCTCCCAGGTATTTGCAATATCCCTTTTGAGAACCCAATGTGGGACTTTTTCCACAGCGTTCCCTCCATGTTGCTACCAGTACGATGTGCAGGAAGCACGGAGGCCATTTGCCCAAGCAGCATCTCCCCTTTTCTCCTTGACAGACGAGTGCTTGGCATGGCCACTTCTCCCTCCATCAATCCTTTTCTCATATGTCAAGCTATGCCAGCTAATTGGTGCTCCAGTCTCCAAAAAGGTCTATGCCACACCACAGCACACTGTGAAGGGTTATCCGCTGTCTTCCCCAGTCCGCTAATTGTGTAATTATGCAGAAATGGCCTGTCTGGTACAATCTATTTCTCATACTCCCCTGTGGTGCCTGTTGCTTACAATGCTCATTATTCCTCTAAGTATTTGCAGACCTTCACCCTCCATCATATTTCCACAAATTGCAGTTCTATTAACAAGGGAACAATTCCTGAAGTCCTTGCAAACATTGTTTTCATTTTCTCTACAGCTCCCTCCTTTCTGGTCGAGAGCAGATCTAGCACTGTCTCCAGGCTGGCTCACACTCCCCTGCTGTCTCCCTTCAGCAAAGGTGCCGTTGCTCTGGAGCCTCTCCCATGCAATTTGTTCATCTGCCAGACTCATGAGGTTAGGCTGCCCAGGGCCTCAGCATGTGGAGCAGAAGATGTGCTGTCCCATGCTGGCTGCCTGCAGGGTCTGCGCACCTCACTCTCTGCTCTGGGTACGTACTGCTGGCTCTTTGCAACTCAGTCCAGCCCACAAGGAGGAGACCAGCAGGCTCTTTGCTTCATACACGATTTCTGCCTGGTGCCAGACTCATCTGCCTGTGCAATTAAACGCCAACCAAGGTCTGTTCTTCAGACTCAACTTCCTACCACAAGCACGCACTAGGTCCAGAGCTTGGAGCACCCCCACTGGAGAGATGGAGCCTTCTCACATTAGGATGCAAACACTATGCCCTGCTTTCATCTGGCTACTGTGGACTGGCAGGACAAACTCAGCATGCCTGGAAGAGCGCAGAACCAGGCTTTGCCCAACCGGACCTTCTGAGCGACCGCAAGGCTAGTGGCCAGGCATCTGGATGGAGATCCTGGTATGCTCCTAGATGGCACATCAAGGACAAGTAGCAGATGTGAACCTGCTTTCTGGGGACAGAGCAGGGGAACCAAGCTGGGGAGCTCCCTGGTACTGGGGCTCCTCCAGGGCAGGGTTGTCAGTGGGTAATGGCTGCAGGAGGCTAGGCCAGGCAGGTGTAAGTCAGCACTTGAGGCCTTGAGGGTGACCCAAAGTGGGTCACAAAGGTTGGCCGATAGCCCAAGACCCAACATGTCAGGAAACCTCCAGGCCTCGAGAAGTGGGATTTCAGAGAATTTCCCTCCCAACAGACAAGATGAATCAGATGAACACCGGGCAAGCCACCAAATGACTTCTTAAACATTAGAAACCTCACCTTGCACCAACACCACCACAGGCAGGAGTGGGAGCCTCAGACCTACCAGATGTCTTCCGGGTGAAAATCAGACACAGCACTGTCAAGAGTAGATGTACTATGTGTGTCAGCATGACCCTCAGGTGAGACCTCTTTCCTCAAATGAAGCCTCAAGTGAGGACATATGAGATCACCAGGGTGAAGGGTCTTGTAAGTCTTCACTAACACAGTGGCACTTGGCATCCTTTTGGGCAGGTACACCAACAGAATTACTTTCCCAACAGCAAATATTGCCAAAAGAAACTAGCTCTCTTTTGCTGTAGCAGATACAAATACAAATCCTCAGGGTCAGCTGAGAACTGAGGAAGCATTTAGGATGGGCAAGAGGGTTTCTTAAGCTAACTATTCTTAGGTTTGGTGGTAATAGCTAGTTGAGTTGATCTTTCGTTTTGGTCTGTTGACTCAGCTTCCCAAAATTTCCTGGTTTATCCTTGCCCGTGGTTACCCTCTCTGCCCTTTCCCAGCATCAGTTTCTCAGTTTCTCTTCAATTTGCTTCTGCTTCTCCCCAGGTTTTTCCTTCCCAGCTCCAAACAGCCAGTGCTGTGACATCCATGCCCCAAGCATGCACCAGGGCTAAAGGGCATGGCACTGTTCATGTGACTGACCCATCCGTGCAGTTAGGAACTGAAACGTCCTTTTAGAATAGGACTAGACAAGGTAGGGCCAACACATGCCAGCCAGGAGTACACCCACATTGTGCACTGTGTCTCCCAGAAGGAGTCACAGTGCAAAAGTTGCCCCAGAACTGCCTCATTTACCTCTGGGCACCTGAGGTCCCCACAGTTCCCTGGCAAGCCACATCCAGAACAAGCCTAGTGCGATGCCCCAACACATAGAGTTGAAATATTGCATACAAACAAAGGGCAAACCTGCAGCATCAGCCCTGCAGCAGCTCTACTCACGTAGATCGTTTCATGTTCCCCATCCATCATGCCCCACCTGCTTCCACTCCTGCACCAAACACAATCTCCTTAACTTGGAGGATCCCTGGGAGCAGCCCTACAGCACAGTCATTGCAACTTGTACATCACACCGCACAAGAGAATTAGCAGAGTTCACCAAAGTAGGGATGGTCATGCAATGGAAAGGATCTAACCATCCTGGGTGGTCAGACAGCACATCGTACTTCAAAATCTTCCACTCTGCCAGCCATGGTGCATATGTAACCTGGACTTATCACTCACCCCAGGGCTATGCAGCAGCCCGCGGGGGTGAGAACTTGTGACAATAGTCCCAAGTTGATCACCTGCCCTTATAAAAAATAACCTGGGAAGGGGGCTCAGAAAAGACCTTTCTGCAAGAATAAATTGGACTTCGCTGCGGAACTGGATGCTCTGGGCAGTCTGGCTGTCGGTGATATTCAGAGGAAACTTACGTCAGGCTTAATTTTTATTTTGAATTTTCAGTACAGCGTTTGATTTATTTGTCTTGTGACACAGACACAGGGCAATAAGAAAGGAACTGTTACAACTGTTGATCATAATAGGCCAAGTTGTTGGTCTAAGCCTCACACAGGGATATCTCTGGTGTAGTATTCCACAACAGAATTTAAATGTTCCTATAAAACTTAATTCTAACCATCTTTCTCTTGGATATTTCTGAAAGGGAGTTTCCCATGAGAGGCCTGGTACTCTCTATTTTCATTAGGTCTAGACATTTCATAAAGCAATTTCTCCTTTTGCTGGCTTCT